AAACGCATCGCCACCTCCTTGGCTTCCAGTGGAATCTTGAATCAAGGGACTAAAGGAGGCGCTTACAAGGGTTTAGGGTTTAGGGTTTAGGGTTTAGGGTTTGGGGTTTAGGTGTTAGGGTTTAGGGTTTAGGGGTTATGTAGGGGTTACTTAGGTACAAGAGTTTACGAGTGTGAGGGTTCAAGGGTTTTCGGGTTTGGTTTAGGGCTCCGCATCTGGAATACAAGCCGTAGCCCCCAATAGGTTTCGCGTGCCCCCCCCCCCCCCCCCGGCCCCCGAGCGCCCGAGCTTCAGTGAGCCCTACCTAGAACCAATAGCCCAGATGTGGTAAGATGCCATATACTAGAGAAACGGATCCTAGGATCTTTGCTAGGTTTAGGGGTTTGGGGTTTAGGGTTTAGGGTTTAGGGTTTAGGGTTTAGGGTTTAGGGTTTAGGGTTTAGGATCTAGGGTTTAGGGTTCCGGTTCCGGGTTTAGGGTTCACTCTAACTCTATACCCATTGCGCAGTGTCGAGAGCTTGCTGTAGATGAGCGAACCTGCCGGTCCATGGGTCAATGGCGTAGTACCTCCAGGGCCGAGTAAGGTCTCGGGTTTAGGGTTTAGGGTTTCGTAGTTTGGGTTGCGAAGCTTCTGCGGGCTGGACTCTGAAGAAACGATGAAGGAATGCAGAGAGAAACGCCCCCCCCCCCCCCCCAAGCTTGGGATGTCCCCCTTACACTCAGAGTCCTTAAGAGGGATTACAGTAGCCCCTACTATATTCCCTATTATGGGCTGTTAGTTTCAGGGGGAACCTCCCAACCCAGACCCTTAAACTACTGATTGCTTAAGGACCCCCCCCAAAAAAAATAAAAATAAAAAGAAAAGATTCTTCCTTATAAGGGTAAATATAGGGATGGGTTTAGGGTTTAGGGTTCAGGGTTCAGGGTTCAGGGTTCAGGGTTCAGGGTTTAGGGTTTAGGGTTTAGGGTTTAGGGCTTATTGTTTGTTGTTCTTTTGGGGTTCTTAAGCACATAGTCGTAAAGCTCTAACATGAACTGAAGCCCTGCACCCCTGAACCCTGACATGGACCCACAAAACCCAAAACACGAAACCCTAAACCCTCTTTCTTTCTACCACCCCTAAACCCTAAACCCTAAACCCTAAACCCTAGACCATGAACCCTGAATCCTGAACCCTGAACCCTGAACCCTGAACCTTGAACCCCAAACCCTGAACCCCAAACCCTAAACCCTAAACCCTAAACCCTAAACCCTAAACCCTTAACCCTAAACCCTAAACCCTGAACCTTTCCTTTCTACCACCGGTGGTGGGAACTTCTTGACGGACACGCCCAGCCAGGCCAGCTCCTGCAGCATGGCCTCCATGAAGGCGCCCTCATCCACGCCCACCTCTTGGAGGTTCATAGGTACTTATGTAGGGTTTAGGGTTTAGGATTTAGGGTTTAGGGTTTAGGGCTCTTAGGGTTTAGGATGTAGGGTTTAGGGTTTAGGGTTTCGGGTTTAGGGTGTTTAGACTACCTTAAAAGCCTACTCATGTCTTAGGGGGCTTATGGAGTTATAAGTGCCCTCATCCAAGCCCACCTCTTGGAGGTTCACGGGTACTTTTGTGAGCCCCAATTAGGATTTAGTGCTCTTAGGGTTTAGGGTTTAGGGTTTAGGGTTGTAAGCCCCAATATAAGTCTACTTATAACCTACGTAGCGGTCTGAGCGGGCATATAAGTACAGTTTAGATTGGGTCTGAACTGCCCTCATCCACGCCCACCTCTGGCAGGAATCTGCAAAAAAACATACTAAACCCAACACCCAAAACCCCAAAATAAACCCTAAACCCTAAGCCCTAAACTCTAAACCCTAAACTTTAGCCCTAAACCCTAACCTACAAACCTGCAGCTTGGTTGAAGGGAGTGGCACGGCGAGCAACATAACAACAAAGCACACAAAATGGTACTAATAGTACTAAAGCAAACAACATGAGACCAATAATAACAATTAAAAGAATACGAGTAAGAATAACAGTACATTGCAAGAACATGTAAAAAAAAGCAAACAAAATACTCCCGCCTCTACAGGTAGAGCAAACACATTAAGAATAATCTAGCAAGACATGAAAAGTAAACTGAACGGTTTATTACAAAAAAACTACGTAAACCCTAAACCCTAAACCCTAAACCCAAACCCTAAACCCTAAACCCTAAACCCCAAACCCCAAACCCCAAACCCCACGCCTCGGCCAGGCTCAGGTCCGATTGGCCAGAGGACGCGAGCAGCCGCGCATAGAAAGAGCCATGGAGGTGGTGGGGATTTCCTTGGGCTGCTGTTTAGGGTCTAGGGTTTAGGGTTTAGGGTTTAGGGTTTAGGGTTTAGGGTTTAGGGTTTAGGGTTTAGGGTTTAGGGTTTTAGGGTTTTAGGGTTTAGGGTTTTTGGAGCCTTGGGTGGTGGGGATTTCCTCCGGAAATCTTGGGGTTTAGGGTGTTTAGGGTTTGTGGGTTGTTTAGGGCTCCGGGTTTTTCGGGTTTTGTGGGTTGGTTAGGGTGCGTAGGGCCTAGCTGAGTCCCTAAAACCTATAAACCTTAAAGCCTCAACCCAAAATCTTATAAGCCCGCAAGCCTTGTGGGCGCATAATATACAGGGTGGGGCCCCCTTACTATACTAACTGTAGTTAAGGGACTTATAACCTAACTTAGGGTCCTTATAACCCAATTTAGGGCCCTTATAACTCTACTTATAACTACAATAATTACTCAGAGAAGTCCCCCATGGTCGCTACAGACCCCCCCAAAACCCTATTCTAGTTCTTCAGGCCCCTGGACCCTAAACCCGAAACCCTAAACCCTAAACCCTAAACCCTAAACCCTAAACCCTATTCTAATTTTCAAGGGTATGGTGGCTCCTAGGGGGAAGTTGCCACCACAACCCCCCGTCCGACATTTGGGGTCTGGGGAGTTGGGGGTTTAGGAGAGGGGTGTTAGGGTTTAGGGTTGAAGGGGTTTTCGGGGGGTGGGGGAGGGGGCGGGTCAGGGTTTCGGATTTAGGGTTCAGGGGTTAGGGTTTGGGCTTTGAGGGTTGAGGGTCGGGGGTTTCGGATCATTGCAGGGGTTCGGAGGCCCAGTTGCGCGAGCTTGGCTCCTCCACCAGCACGCGCATGAAGGTATCGAGGCCTCAGCTGGGCAAAGTACTGTTTGAATTTAAGTACGGTCCAGAGCTTATGTCTGAACTCGTTGATGGTTTTTGAAGGTGCTTTGGGATTGCAGAGTGACTTGACGTACTATTGACTCTCACAAAATGGGCCGGTCAACCTCAGCAAAAGCGTTTCCATCCGAACCTTCCTAAAGTACCTACTAGCTACTCAAAATACTTGAACTCCCTTTCTAGCCCCCCAGTTTTTAGAAACTCCCTGATTTTCAGAAACCCCCATACCTGAGAGCATGCTAAACAGGCGAGCAACAGTCACGGACGGGGTCTATGAAGCCGGGGTCCTCTCTCATATCGCCAATGGAGTGCATGCTGGCAGGAATGGGGACCAGAGCTTACGCGGTTTTGGGTTTAGGGTTTAGGGTTCAGGGTTCAGGGCTCAGGGCTTAGGGTTTAGGCTAGAATCCCAAACCCTTAGGGGTCTCATGTCTTGCGTGTAGGTGCAGCCCAGTTTACTTAAACCCTAAACCCTAAACCCTAAACTCGAAACCCTAAACCCTAAACCCTACTTCAGAAGCCAGAGCCCCCTTAATCCGAAACGCTAGAGTCATCAGTCGAACGCTGAAGCCCTCAAAGCCATGGACCTTCAACTCCCAGGATGAGGGTTTATGGTTTAGGGTTTAGGGTTTAGGGTTTAGGGTTTAGGGTTTAGGGTTTAGGGTTTAGGGTTTAGGGTTTAGGGGTTTAGGGTTTTGGGTTTTAGGGCTAGGGCTTTTCACCAGACACGAAACCTGAGACAGATAGCCAAACACATGTAGCCAGATGCTTCAAATTTCTGGACGGGACGATTGAAGGCCCCTTTTGCCAGGCTTCTTGGAGAGGTTACGCATAAAACCGTCCCGAAACCCTAAAACCCCAAAACCCGACACCGCCCTGAGGTAAGGGCGCGTGGAGGCCTGCAGCCTTCGCTTGAGATGACTGCTGGGCTTCAGGGCCGTGACCCTCAAAGCCCCTAAGCCCTCCTAAACCCTAAACCCTAAACCCTAAACCCTAAACCCTCCTGAAACCTGAGCTGTGCCTTGGGAAAGCTTTCAGCCCTACCTTTCAGCTGAATTGCCCAATTGCCCTTCTTGGGGGCTAATTCGGATGCACCCTAAACCCGATTTAAACCCTAAACCCTCAGCCCCCCCCCCCCCCCCAAGAAGTAAACCCTAAACCCTAAACCCTAAACCCTAAACCCGAAGCCCGAAGCCCTAAGCCCTAAACCCTAAACCCTATAAACCCTAAACCTTTCAATGTCTCACCTCTTGGGGTGTCCTTGGACGTCCACCAGCCGGTGCAACAGTCGTCCAAGGAGAAGTCATCGTCTGCACTGGGTTGCAGGTTTAGGAGTTTAGGGTTTAGGGTTTAGGGTTTAATTCTGTTTCTTGGTAGGGAATGATGGTTTTAAGTACCTATTCTACCCTTTAAGGGACTATTTAGGGCACTTGGAGGTTCAGCTTACTCGTTAACCAATTGCAACTGTACTTATAACCCAATTCTAACCCTAGTAGCGTACTTAAGGGCCTTAGAAGCGGGGTAGAACTACACTGAAAATTGGCCACTAAGTAGCCTGAACCTCCAATTTCCTAAGGAAGCTCAGGGCGCAAGGGGTGTTGGGCTCAGGGCTTAGGGAGTCGAGGACTTAGGGCTGAAGGTTTCAAGTTTAGGAAGGTTAGGAAGGTTGGGTTGCGGTTTTTGGGGGTTGGGGTTTAGGGTTTAGGGTTTAGGGTTTAGGGTTTAGGGTTTAAGGTTTAGGGTTTAGGGTTTAGGGTTTAGGGTCCAAGCTCTACCGGAACCCCAGCAGCCCTGTTTCAACTTGCTGGGCGCTTAGGGGTGATATTGGGGAAGATGGGGCTTAGGTTTAGGGTTTAGGGTTTAGGGTTTAGGGTTCAGGGTTCAGGGTCTAGGGCCTAGGGTTTAGGGTTCAGGGTTCAGGGTTTAGGGTTTGCAGAGGGGCGGCTGATGCAAAGCGCCCATCCGCCATTCGAGCAGCAGACATCCGGGGTGTACATGCCTCCGTTGGAGGCGCAGCTTTGGGACGTTCCCCCTTAGACTAACCGTCCTGCATAGGGTTTAGGGTTTAGGGTTTAGGGTTTAGGGTTTAGGGTTTAGGATTTAGGGTTTAGGGTTTGTGGTACCCCCGATAATCATCCCTATTAAGGACTGCGAGTACAAGGGGGAACAACCCAAAGCCAGCAGCTCGGGGTTTGGGAATCGAACATTCTATTTGTTGACGGCGGCGCAACAAAAAAACGGACAAACTTCATAAGCTTAGACTTGATTCGTTCATTCTTGTTCTCAGACATGTACATCCAAACCCTAAACCCCAAACCCTAAACTCCAAACCCTAAACCCTGTAAACCCTAAGCTCATCGATTCAGGCTTCGGGTGCGGGAAGCCTTGGTTAAGGGGCAGGGTTTGACCCCCACAAGCCCTAAACAACCGCTCATGATGTGCCCGAAACCCCCTAACCTACGGTAGTTACATGGTCCCTTGGTCTGCGCCCTTAAATGGGGACCCCCTATGTGGCCCAAGAACCCCTTAAGCATAAGGGACCATATTAAGGCAGCATGTCACTACCCTTTCAGCCCGAAGCCCGAAGCCCTAAACCCCTAAACCCCTAAACCCCTAAACCCCTAAACCCCTAAACCCCTAAACCCCTAAACCCCTAAACCCTAAACCCCTAAACCCTAAACCCCCAAAACCCCTAAACCCCGAAACCCCTAAACCCTAAACCCTAAACCCCAAACCCTAAACCCTAAACCCCAAACCCTAAACCCTAAACCCGCCTAAGCCCGAAGTCCCCAACCCTTTCGGCCGTGGCGCCGAGCCAGCAGCCGCGATCCCGAGCCAGCTGGCGGGTTTCCGCCAGCTCTGCGTCGAAAGTCTTCCTGAGGAGGGTTTAGACCCTAAACCCTAAACCCTAAACCCTAAACCCCTAAACCCCTAAACCCCAAACCCTAAACCCTTGGGGCCATATACCCTACACTGCCTGTGCTACCTATAAATCCTAATAAGGTACGTGACCATGAAACCGTCTTGGGGGTTCATTTGATCTCCCCAAGGGGGGGGGGTTCTGATCCAGGGTTCAGGGATTTCGGCCTTTAGGGGCTTTAGGGTTTAGGGTTTTAGGATTTAGGGTTTTAGGATTTGGGGATTTAGGGTTTACGGCTTTAGGAGTTTGAGGTTTTAGGGTTTTAGGGTTTAGGGTTTGGGGTTTCAGGGTTTAGGCCTTTGGAGGTTGGGGTGTGGGTTTAGCGTTTTCGGGTTCAGGGTTCAGGGCTTTAGGTTGAAGGCTTTCGGGGCTTAGAGGCTTTCACACCATGCTTTGCTCTAGTACTTGGTAGCCCAGCAACCACCTTATGTCAAGGGCACCCTTGTTTTGGTTGGTTACTTTTATATAAGAGAAACCCAGAACCAAAAAGGGTAAAGGGTACTGGGCTACCAAGAGTACGGCTTCATGAGTAGAAGGCTTACAGTTCAATAGGCCGCCAAAGATGCTCGTGACTCAGATCAACTCCCCCCCCCCCAAACCCTAAACCCTAAACCCTAAACCCTAAACCCTAAACCCTAAACCCTAAAACCCTAAACCCTAAACCCTAAACCCTAAACTCTAAACCCTAAACCCTAAACCCTAAACCCCAAGCTACAAGCTCAGGATTGCAAAGCCAAGCGGCGCACCCCAGTCGGTGTAGGTTTGCAACGCCAGTCCGGCGCGGTCTTCAAGGAGTTTAGGGTTTGGGGTTTGGGGTTTGGGGTTTGGTGTTTAGGGTTTAGGGGTCTAGCTTATATGCTTTTCCAAAGAACCCTAAACTGCAGGGGGTTGCGGGGGGACCCTTCTTGAGCTCAAGCCTTTCGGGCCACAAAAAAATGACCAAGAATGCGCAGCTCTGGACTCCAAGTTCTGAAAAATTGGAGTTTTAGGGTTTAGGGTTGTTTGTCGGTACACTCTGGCTTCGGATGGGAGCCGAAAAGCAATTTTGGCGCCGGCTCGGGGGCCATCATTGTGGCGTCTGCAGCTTCTCCGGCTGCCAGGGAAGATTGGATGGAGGCTCCTCTCCTTTGGCAAAGGGGGCCACGAAACCCACGCTGGTCACAGCGGTGAGGGTTAGGGCGATCTGTGCCGCAGCGTAGGCGTTCCGCCCCAAGGCGCCGATCACACATCGCACAAGAGGCGGCGCCAAGGCTCGCGGAATGAAGATCGCCAGCTTCTTCCAGACGATGTAGTTTTGCAAGCTGCAGCGGGAATTCGGGACCGCGGCTTGCATGGCAACACCATCCATAAATCCGGAGAGTTGGAACATGCAGGTAAAGTTGAGGACGTCCGCGACTAGGAGCAGAAAGGCCGAATGTGGACCACCAACACCTGCCCAATCAACAAAGCAAAGTGACCCCAAGGTACTGGCAACGGCCAAGATCATCATGAGATGGCGATCTGACACCCACCGCCCTCGAACGAACAGGGCCAGGCAACCCATCACGACCGTACCCGCGAAGACTGCACCCATCACGAAGCCGATGGATTGCACCTTCCACCCATACTGCGTCTCCAGAATCAGGCCGGTGGCTACTTCGATGGCGCTGCTCGTGAAGGCCCGCTCGGCTGTGAAGCTCACAACCGCGCAGACCAGGGACTTGCGTTGCGCCTCACTGACGCCATCCCAATGATCATCCTCCACCCCTCCCTCCTGGTCCTCAAGGCTCCACACGCTCTCTTCTCCTTCGGGAAGATTGGGGAGAAACATGGTCAGCAAAAGGGCGTAGATCGACCAGAGCGTCCCCACGAAACTCACGACGCCCTGGCCACTCACGGAAGCGTCACTTGCCTTGTAGATCTCAAGCAGTGTGGAACACAGCAGGGGGCCCAGACACATGCCCACACCCAAAGAGAGGAAGTAGCAAAGCGACAACGTGGCGCGATTGCGCATGGAGGCCCCCTGGAAGGCCAGGGCTTCCAGGGGGGTAGAAACAAAAGTCACAGAAAGGCCGCCAAGGGCGCGCGATGCCAACCTTGGTGGCCAAGTCACCATACTATCTTAAGGGCACCCTTTCTTGGGTTGGCTGATTTATGAGGGAACCGGAACTTAAAAGAAAAGTGAACAGGGTACCAGTGGGCTACCATGCAACAGCAGGAGCATCACCGTGCTAGCCTGCCAGCGGTGGCTCATTTCGAGCGCCGCAACACCAGACCACGTCAGCAGCCTTGGTGTGGATTACATGAATTCCCTATACACGCATGTGGTAGGTATGCCTTGGTAGGGGTGTCCTTCATGCTCCCAAGGACCCTAAACCCGAACCCCTAAACCCTAAGCCCTAAACCCGGACACTAAACCCAAACACTAAACCCTAAACCCTAAACCCAAAACCCTAAACCCTAAACCCAGGGATTCGTTTTGCTACCCAAGGAGCACAAGCACCCAGGCGCCGACAATCACCTTGGGGGACCAAATGAACCCCAAAGTTGGGGTCATATACCCTCTGCTACTAGAATTCCTATCAAGGCAATATGAACCCTAAACCCTAAACCCTAAACCCTGAACCCTAAACCCTAAACCCTAAACCCTAAATCCTAAACCCTAAAGCCTAAACCCTAAACCCTTTTCGGGTTCATCTCGTCCCCAAGGTACCAGCTGCCGCTGCCGCTCATAGGGCTGGCTGGTCACCAGGCGACCCAGGAAGAGACCCACGGGCTGCAAAGCCAAATGGGAACCTTGGTAGCTGGTTTAGGGTTTAGGGTTTAGGGTTTAGGGTCTAGGGTTTAGGGTTTAGGGGCACCCTTCTTGGGGGTTGGCTACTTTCTTCGGGAGCCCAGAATGCAAACAAAAGGGCAAAGGGTACCACTGGGCTATCAAGGAACCCAAAACCAGACCGGACATGGCGGCCCCGTAGCGCAGCTCCGCACAGATGTCGTAGACCACCGGGATCCTTGGTAGCCCATATTGTAATTCGGGTTTAGGGTTTAGGGTTTAGGGTTTAGGGTTTAGGGTTTAGGGTTTAGGGTTTAGGGTTTAGGGTTTAGGGTTTAGGGCTTAGGGCTTAGGGTTTAGGGTAGGGCTTAGGGTTTAGGATTTCTTTATAAGGGAACCTTGATCCCAAAAAAAGGGGAAAAGGGTACCACTGGGCCACCAAGGATCAGGATCGTCATGTCCACCGTGGAGAGCAGCAACATCAGGAGCAGGAGCCATTGGCTGAAGTACTTCGGATGACTAAGATGTAGGACGCTGGAAGCACTCAAGCCGGTTGCCGATATCCTTGGGGACCCAACGAAGCCTAACAATTGAGGCCATGTACCCTCTTCTACGAGAATTCCTCCTAAGGTACTATGAACCCTAAACCTCCCGCATACTACTATAATTCTTACTAAGGTAATTAATATGAACCCTAAACCCCAAACCCCAAAGCCCAAACCCCAAACCCCAAACCCTAAACCCCAAACCCTAAACCCTTTTCGGGGCTCAGTAATGCTCTCCAAGGGTCACAGCCGCGCCCACGAGGCAAAACACTGAGGTGCCGAAGAGGCGCGAAGATCCTGAAGAGGTTTAGGGTTTAGGGTTTAGGGTTTAGGGTTTAGGGTTTAGCGTCTAGGGTTTAGGGCACTTGGGGGACAAAGTGGGGCGGCCCTTGGGGCCACTGCCTATGCTATAATTCCTGTTAAGGAAAATATGTGTGTACATATATATATATATAATACTATATATTAAATACTACTAGAATTCCTATTAAGGCATGTATGTACACATGTATATATATATATATATATATACATATATATATATATATAGAGATATATTATACCACTATAAGTCCTACTAAGGTATATGACTTGTAATTGCCAGCCATAGATACCCATTTAGGGTTCATTTGGTCCCCAAGGGAAGGGTCGGTCCTGGTCCTGACAGCACCGCGATTGCTGCCGACGTGTGCTGCAGCAGCCCATGGTCCGCATCCGGGGGTTCGACAGACACGATCATCACCCTAAACCCTAAACCCTAAACCCTTAACCCTAAACCCTAAACCCTAAACCCTAAAACCCTAAACCCTAAACCCTAAAACCCTAAACCCTAAACCCCCCCAGAGCTTGTAAGGGCTGCGGTAGGCCGATCCGCGTGAAAGGTGGTTTAGGATTTAGGGTTTAGGGTTTAGGGTTTAGGGTCTCAACGCTGAACCTCCTAAACGAGAAGCCCCACAAACCCCGCCCAAACCCTTCAAGGTAGTAAGCTCTTGCCCCTTAAAACCCTTAAATCACCCTAAACCATAAGTTCACCCTCAAAAGCCCTTACAACCCTCAAAACCTGAACCCCTAATTCAACCCCAATTCCAAAACCCTAAACCACCAGATAACCCTCAAAACCTCACCAAAGAGCCTCGCGGCAGCTGTGCCGCACGCAGTGGGACCCCATTGGAGTCCACCAGGAAGCCAAGCTGCGCACCACCCCGGGTGACCTCTTGGGTAGGGTTTAGAGTTGAGGATTGAGGGTTTAGGGTTGAGGGTTGAGGGTTGAGGGTTGAGGGTTCAGGGTTTAGGGTTTGGGGTGAGGAACCATCGTGGCCATACTCGGAGGTTCATGGGTACTTATAACCCCAGATGTAAGTTCATCTATGAGCCCCCCCTAAGTCCCCTAAGTAGGTTATGAGTAGACTTAGGACTGGGGCTATAAGTACCCATTTTTCATGGGTTTAGGGTTTAGGGTTTAGGGTTCAGGGTTTGGGGTTTAGGGTTGAGGAACCTCCAAGTATACTCCCCAAATGGGCCCCAAATACCCTAACATGCACACCCACGCTATGATGAAAGCTCCAGAGAAGTGAAAATATTCGGTGAAGGCCAAGCGGCCCAGAACTTCGGAACGGAAGAACGAAAATCAACTACCAGAAAACTATACTCCCCGTAGAACCTTCATAAAAACAATTATTATTAACATCCTCTTGGGCTATATAAACAAAAGTAAAAAATAGTTCCCAACGGGGAGATAGAAAAAATGTGTTGTATGGATACGCTGAAAAAAAAACTGTTGTGGACCCGTTTGTCTTTGAGAAACGTCCTCCGGCTTGGAATACCTCCAACGAAACATTGCAGCCTTCAATCCCAGCAAAGCTTGTTGTTCGGACACGGCTCGACCTTCAGTCTCTCAACTCCCTGCAACGGAAACATAAACTTGATACTTGTCAGATACAGCTCTGGGCCAAACATGGGAATTTCCGAAATTCGGGGCACCTGCTTGGGGTCCTTATTATGAGGGTAACATACTGTTTGGGGTCTGTCTTTGGTCCCCTAATTTCGTGAACTCCCAGTTCTGAATCAAACATGCAAACATTCATGTGTGAAGTTGGCTTGGCTGGGTTCGGTCGTCTTGGGGTCTACATATCTACATACTACGCTATTCCGCTAACCAATGCCGCACCCCAGACCCTAAACCCTAAACCCGAAACCCTAAGGCCCTAAACCCTATAAACCCTAAACCCTAAGGTGCCTGCTGACCCTCTACCTTGGACACCTACATGACCAGTTCCCTGAACACTTCTTGATGTTCCCATCCCACCCAACCCCCCTATGCAAAGGAACCCTTACGGCACGCCTAAGCCCTAAACCCTAAACCATAAACCATAAACCCTAAACCGTATACCCTAAACCCAAAACCCGGCCTAAAGGAGGTAAGGGCTCAAAGGCTTATAAGGGTTAAGGGTTTAGGGTTTAGGGTTCAGGGTTCAGGGTTGAGGGAGTCTTCCCCTCCTCGAATCCCTGTAGAACAGCGCCAAGGGTCCACGTGGGTTTGCCTCTCCTCATCCCAGGAGTACCCATCCTCATCCTCCTGGGGCAGTACCCTAAACCCTAAACCCTAAACCCCAAACCCTAAACCCCTAAACCGCATGAACCTCCAAGTAGCCTGGGGCGCGGGCCTGGGACTGGTTCAGAGAGGCGTGCAAGGGAACCCTGACCCACCATGAAGGCCCACGCACACTCCGGGTCCAAGAAACCCGAAGCCCCAACCCCAAAACTCGACGTGCCCTTCTGAGACACGAGCGTGTTGAAAGCACAACTTCAACAACGACAACGCAAACCTCCAACCGGAAGGACCCCAATACGTACCCGTGGCCGAAATGCGCCCTAAACCCTAAACCCTAAACCCCAAACCCCAAACCCTAAACCCTAAACCCTAAACCCTAAACCCTAAACCCTAAACCCTAAACCCTAAACCCTAAACCCTAAAACCCCCCCCCCCCCCCCAAAAAAAAAAAAAAAAAAAAAACTCAACCCCGACCGAACCTTCAGCTCCAAGCCCTACAGAATATTTCGACCAAGCCAAGTAATCACAAACCCGAAAACCCCTTAAACCCTCAACCCTCATGACAGCCCTTAAGAACCCCCCCTCAGAAACCTGTAAGCAACCCCCTAAACCCTAAACCCTAAACCCTAAACCCTAAACCCTAAACCCTAAACCCTAAACCCTAAACCCTAAACCCTAAGCCCTGAAGAAGCACGCCTTGAGTGGCTGCAGGGTGCTCGCCCCGGGCTCGCCGCCCAGGCAAAGGCCCACCACCCCGGCGCAGGCGGACCAGCGCATGGCCGTAGACAGCGTTTCAGGGGTCTAGGGGTTTGGGGTTTAGGGTTTAGGGTTTAGGGTTTAGGGTTTAGGGTTTAGGGCTAGGCTGCAAGGGCTTCGGGGTTCTTCATGCTACATGGCCCTACTATACCCGAAGCTCACATGAAGTTCTAAGCCCTTAAGAACCCCAAGATACACGTTCCGAAGGTGCCTGTGCTTGGCGTTCCCAACATGATGTCGTTTAGGGTTTAGTGTCTAGTTGAGGGTTTAGGGTTAGTGTCTAGTTGAGGGTTTAGGGTTTAGGGTTTAGGATTTAGGGTTTAGGGTTTATAGTGTCTAGTTGAGGAGTTGAGGGTTTAGGGTTTTAGGGGTTGAGGTTGAGGGTTTAGCGCTCGGTACTGCAGCTGTGAAAGGTTCGAAGCTTTGGAGACGTGAGATAAGAGCATCCGCAGCTTTCGGTTTGGGTTTGGAGCACACAGAGACCCCGCTGCCGCTAGCGACCCCCATACTTCTCACATGCCTAAACCCTAAACCCTAAACCGTAAACCCTAAACCCCAAAACCCTAAACCCCAAACCCTAAACCCTAAACGGCCAGACTGGGCCTTGCTGTAGTCTAGTCCACGCAAGCAGGCACACTGTTGCTGTGTCTCCCCTGACCCTCCGACACCCTGGGCCCCAAGCCCTGAACCCCTACGCGCTAACCCCTGAACACCGGACACCACTGGCCCTAAACCCTAAACCCTAAACCCTAAACCCTAAACCCTAAACCCTAAACCCTAAACCCTAAACCCTAAACCCTAAACCCTAAACCCTAAACCCTAAACCCTAAACCCTAAACCCTAGGACGGACATCACTGGACCATAGACCTGGCTCGCAGGCTCAAGGGGAGCACCGGGTGAGATGGAGGCGGCTCCATTCCCCAGCCATTAGGTTCAGGGTTCAGGGTTCAGGGTTTAGGGTTTCGGGTTTAGGGTTTCGGGTTTAAGGTTTAGGGTTTAGGGTTTAGGATCTAGGTAGCGCGTCAAGAGTTACCCTTAAGCCCTTAAACCCAACAACCCTAAAGCCTAAACCCTAAACCCAGCTTCGGGTTGCAGGCTTGGGGCATGTAGGGTTTGGGGAGTTTAGGGTTTGGTGTCGAGTTCCGGAAGCTGGGTTTAGGGTTTAGGGTTTAGGGTTTTAGGGTTTTAGGGTTTAGGGTTTAGGGTTTAGGGTATTCCTGAGTGACACCTAAGATAGCCGAGAAAGTCACCTTAACCGTTCATATGCACAAAGCAGAGCATCTGAACCTCTAAACCCGAACCTCTAGACCCCAAACCCTCAGCCCTCAACCTAAAACCCTGAACCCCATAAGCCCCTAAACCTGAACCCTAAACCCTCTAAGCTCTAAACCTGAGCCCTAAACTCTCTAAGCCCTGCAAACTGTTGATTTTTATGTTCTGCTTCGCCAGGCTTTGTCATCCCTCTGGGCGGAGGAGCAGCATGGGCTATTAGGCCTACCCTAAACCCTAAACCCAGACCCTAAACCCTAGACCCAAAGCCCTAAACCCTAAACCATGCAGGGAGGAGCAGCGCGCCAGCGCGCGCACTGCAGGCGGTTGTTGGCCCGAGGGCTTCCGACCTCCAGAGTTCCGAGCTTCGGGTTTGGGGATGTAGGGTTTAGGAGTTTAGGGGTTTCGGGCTTTCGGGGTTTACGGCCTGGGGTTTTGGGTGTTATTCTGCTGTTTCGGGTTTAGAGCTTTGGGATGGCTCGTCGCATCCTGCGTGGGGGCGATGGCGTGTGTGCTGGGTCAGCGGGGGTGCGATGCGCGGGATTGGGCGGCAAACTCGAAACGCCCTGCAAAACCTGCAAGCCCTGCGAACTCTTTGAATTACACGCTCGAGAGAGTACACCCTAAACCCAAGATTCCCTTAGCCCTTTCGCCCTAGCCCATGTCCAGACCCTGCTATGGGGTCCATCGAGAAGTAAGGCCGCTGAGCAAGAAATCCGGGGCCGAAGCTCAACTTCAATGTAGATATGACTTGCAAGGGATGAATAGTTTCGGGGTTCTAGAGGATAATATAAGAGCCTATGGAACTTGAATTTTGATCCAAGTCAATACACCATGGGCAGAAAACCAGAATGGACATCAAATCGGCACATGAATGAATTAAAAATCCTACGCGCCATTCAGGATTCAGAAGATATGCTCTATCAAAGCTCGAGCCAGATCGCAAGAATAATGTGGTAAACAACAAAACTGTGCCATGGAGAAAGCCCTGTCGCATTTCTGGTTCCGCGACTTGCGACGAGGAGGCGGGAAGTTCTGGCTCCAGTGACGGGAAATCTCCGCCCACTTTGCCTTCAGACTCAGCTTTTTCCACACTTGATGCAAAAGGTCCTGGCTTGGTAGCTTTTCTGAGATCCAGCCGAAAACTGCTTCAACATAGCGCAGCTGCTTCATGGCATTCGCAGTCAAGTCACATGCTCTTGCCAACTCTTCTCGTCTTCGGACGAAAAACGTCGCACACGTTTAGCGCAGGTCCGGGGGCCATCATTGTGGCGTTTGCATCTTCTCCGGCTGCAAGGGAAGCTTGGATGGGGGCTCTTCTCCTTTTGCTTCTTTGGCAAAGGGGGCCACGAAACCCACGCTGGTCACAGCGGTGAGGGTCAGGGCGATCTGCGCCGCAGCGTAGGCATTCCGCCCCAAGGCTGCGATCACATATCGCACAAGAGGCGGTGCCAAGGCTCGCGGAATGAAGATCGCCAGCTGCTTCAAGACGATGTAGTTCTGCAAGCTGCAGAGGGAATCTGGGACCGCGGCTTGCATGGCAACACCATCCATAAATCCGGAGAGTTGGAACATGCAGGTAAAGTTGAGGATGTCCGCGACTAGAAGCAGCAAGGCCGAATGTGGACCACCAACACCTGCCCAATCAACAAAGAAAAGTGACCCCAAGGTACTGGCAACGGCCAAGATCATCATGAGATGGCGATCTGACACCCACCGCCCTCGAACGAACAGGGCCAGGCAACCCATCACGACCGTACCCGCGAAGACCGCACCCATCACGAAGCCGATGGCTTGCACCTTCCACTCATACTGCGTCTCCAGAATCAGGCCGGTGGCTACTTCTATGGCGCTGCTCGTGAAGGCCCGCTCGGCTGTGAAGCTCACAACCGCACAGACCAGGGACTTGCGCTGTGCCTCACCTTGGAGACGATGTGAACCCTGAATAGGAATTGTAGTGATATAGGGTATATGACCCCAATTTTAGGGTTCATTTCTTCCCCAAGGCACTGACGCGATCCCAATGATCATTTTCCACAGCTGCCTCTTGCTCCTCAAGGCTGCACACGCTCGCTTCTGGAAGACCTTGGGGACGAAATGGACCCCAAAATTGGGGTCAGTATACCCTGACTACTATAATTCCTATCAAGGTATATGAGCCATAAACCCTTTAAGGGTTCGTTTCGTTCCCAAGGGACTGGGCAGAAACATCGTCAGCAAAAGGGCGTAGATCGACCAGAGCGTTCCCACGAAACTCACAGCGTCCTGGCCGCCCGCGGATGCGTCACTTGCCTTGTGGATCTCAAGCAGCGTGGAACACAGCAGGGGGCCCAGACACATGCCCACACCCAAAGAGAGGAAGTACCAAAGCGACAACGTGGCGCGATTGTCCATGGAGGCCCCTTGAAAGGCCAGGGCTTCCAGGGGCGTACTAACGAACGTGTTTAAAAGTCCGCCCAGGGCACGCGATGCCAACAGCAGAAGCATGACCCTGCTAGCTTGCCAGCGGCGGCTCATTTCGAGCACCGCAACGCCGGACCACGTCAGCAGCCTTGCGGAACTATATGAACCCTCTGCAAGGGATGGGGGTCATACACTAAACTTGGGATGTTCCCCTTCTACTAACAGTCCTTTATAGGGATTAACATAGCCGGTACTATAATCCCTAGTAAGGTCTGTTAGTATAAGTGGGAACATCCTGACCCTAAACCCTAAACCCCAAACCCTAAACGTTTTCGGATCTTGGTAGTATCAATAAATATATCTACATATATATATATATATATATATATACATACATACATATATATCTGTATACATACATACATACATACATACATACATACATACATACATACATACATACATACATACATACATACATACATACATACATACATACATACATATATATATATGTATATAATATATATATATATATATATACATATAATCCTTCCTTCTTACTAGGGCTCATGTGGTCTCCCCAAGGAGCGCAAGCACCCACGAGCCGATGACCACGATCCTGATTGAGGCTAAGGATCAAAAAAAAACTAGCCCTAAACCCTAAACCCTAAACCCTAAACCCTAAACCCTAAACCCTAAACCCTAAACCCTAAACCCTAAACACCCTACCTAGGGTGGAGGGGCATGCTGGTGCCCTACATATATGGCCTGCTTACTCTCATAGGAACCCCTAAAATTGAGCAGACTTCAAAGAACCGGCCCGCATGAAGTACTTTAGGGTTTAGGGTTTGAGGTTCTTAGGGTTACCTATATAACCGTTTCTTATTCTGGTAACTTGAAACCAGGGTGTATGGGGTTTAGGGAGTTTTAGGGCTTGTGGGGCGCCCAGGCTCCGACGCTGCCGCGCATAGGGCTGGCTGGTCACCAGGCGTCCTAGGAAGAGGCCCACGGGCTGCAAAGCCAAATGGGAACCCAACACCAGACCGGACATAGCGGCCCCGTAGTTCAGCTCCACACAGATGTCGTAGACCACCGGGATCAGGATCGTCATGTCCACCGTGGAGAGCAGCAACAGCAGGAGCAGGAGCCATTGGCTGAAGTACTTCGGGTGGCTGAGATGCACGATGCTGGAAGCCTGGAAGCCCGTTGCCGATATCCTTGCGGGCCAAATGAAGCCTAACAATTGGGGCCATTTACCCGATACTACCAAAACTCCAGTTACTGTAAGGTAACATGAGCCCTAAACCCTAAACCCCAAACCCCAAACCCTAAAGAGCTCTAAACCCTAAACCCTAAACCCTAAAGCCTTTGGAGGTTCATTTAAGGTCTCCAAGGATCACCCCCGCTCCCACGAGGCAAAGAACCGAGGAGGCGCCGAAGAGGCGCGCCGATCCTGCGAGGTTTCGGGTTTAGGGTTTAGGGTTTAGGGTTTAGGCTTTAGGGTTCTAGGGTTTAGGGTTCTAGGGGTTAGGGTTTAGAATTTAGGGTTTAGGGTTATAGGGTTATAGGGTTATAGGGTTTAGGGTTTAGGGTTCTAGGGTTTAGGGTTTAGGGTTTAGGGGTGTAGGGTTTAGGGTTTAGGGTTTAGGGTTTAGAGGTGTAGGGTTTAGGGGTGTAGGGTTTAGGGTTTTAGGGTTTTAGGGTTTGGGGTAACCCTAAACCCTAAACCCTAAATCCTAAACCCTACACCCTAAACGGATTCGGGGCAAAGGCATGGCTTGAACACCTTTTTGAGGCTTTTGGGTTGCGGGGTTTATTCTGGGAGAGTTGCTTTTTTGTTCAAGATCTAGTGGGTTTAGGGTTTAGGGTTTAGGGTTTAGGGTTTAGGGTTTAGGGTTTAGGGTTCTAGGTTCTAGGTTCTAGGGTTTAGGGTTTAGGGTTTAGGGTTTAGGGTTTAGGGTTTAGGGGTGAAGGGTTTAGGGTTTTTAGGGTTTGGTGTTTGGGGTTTGGGGTTTAGGGTTTAGGGGTGTAGGGTTTAGGGGTGTAGGGTTTAGGGTTTTAAGGTTTTAGGGTTTGGGGTTCGGGGTTTAGGGTTTAGGGGTGTAGGGTTTAGGGTTTTAGGGTTTGGTGTTTGGGGCTTAGGGTTTGGGGTTTCGGGTTTAGCGTTTAGGGTTTTGGGGTTCTAGGGTGTAGGGTTTCGGGTTTAGGGTTCAGGGGTGTAGAGTTTAGGGGTGTAGGGTTTTAGGGGTGTAGGGTTTAGGGTTTTAGGGTTTGGTGTTTGGGTCTTAGGGTTTGGGGTTTAGGGTTTAGGGGTGTAGGGTTTAGTGGTGTAGGGTTTAGGGTTTCAGGGTTTGGGGTTTGGGGTTTAGGGTTTAGGGGTTTAGGGGTTTACGGTTTTAGGGTGAAAGGTTTTAGGGTTTAGGGTTTTAGGAGTTTAGGGTTCAGGGTCTCGGGCTTTAGGGTCTAGGGTTTTAGGGTTTGGGGTTTAGGTCTTGGGTTTCGGGTTATAGGGTTTAAGGTTTAGGGCCCTTGGGGAACAAAGTGAACCCTGAAAGGCTGATGGTCCGTATACCCTAACGGTGGTTCATTGGTCCTCAAAGGGATGTAGTAGGCTAGGTTTAGGATTCGAGGGTCTCAGGGGCCCACACAAGGGCATCAAGAGTCAGGGTGGGGGTTGGGGTATGTTGGGTAACCAGGAGGGTGGGTTGCTTGGAGGTTCATGGGTATTTATAACCCCAAGTAGGAGTCTACTTATTAACTAGTTAGGGGACTTAGGGGGCTTACAAGTACAGGTATATACGGTATATGTAATTGGGGCTTTAAGCTTTCAAGTGGCCCTGGTCCTGAAAGGGCGGTGCTGTTCACAGCGAGGTCTACCGACGACGTGAGCTGCAGCAGACAATGCTCTGCATCTGAAGGCTCGATGGACACGACCATTTAAAAGGACTAAAGGACAATTGTGAGGGACCTTGGGGGTTATTTAGAGGTTATTGAGGTACATAGAGACTATCAGACTATATAAGGTATATATAGGGGTTACATATGGGTAATATAGGGGAGTAAGATTAAGGGTCCCTACTAATTAGAGGTCCCTCCTTATACCCCTTATGATCATCACCAGCCTGAGCACAGGGGCTGCGGTAGGCCGATCCGCACGAAGGGCATGTTGAGCCACGGTTTAGGGTTTAGGGTTTAGGGTTTAGGGTTTAGGGTTTAGGGTTTAGAACATCCTAAAACAGAAGCCCCAGAGCCCCACCAAACCCTATCAGCCACGAAGCCCTTACAACCCGCAAAACCCTAAACCCTGAACCCACAAACCCTAAACCCTAAACCCTAAACCCTAAACCCTAAACCCTAAACCCTGAACCCTGAACCCTGAACCCTGAACCCTGAAACCAAAACCCTACACCCCAAACCAGAAGTTAGTCCTCACAACCGCCCCCAAAAGCCTCGCGGCAGCTGCGCCGCACGCAGTGGGCCCCATTGGAGTCCGCCAGGGAGCCCTACCATTTCTGCTGCTTCAAACGGGGCTTACAAGGAAACCCTTGCCCAACACAAAAAGAGGGCTTAGGCTTTAGGGGTTTAGGGTTTAGGGGTTTAGGGTGTAGTCCAGGGTTGAAGGTTTAGGGCTGAGGATTTACGGAGCTTCACGCTTAGGGCTTAGGACCTCAAAACCACAAGGACCCCAAAACCCCCAGACCCCAAGGCCTCGAGATTTTAGCCGACCCCAAAGCCTACAATCACTAAACCCCTAACCCCTCCACACCCTTCTTATACCCTAAACCCTAGACCCTGAACTCCTAACCCTAAACCCTAAACCCTAAACCCTAAACCCTAAACCCTAAACCCTAAACCCTAAACCCTAAACCCTCATCCCACAGCCCTGAAGAAGCACAAGGTCGCGCCTTGAGCGGCTGCAGTGTGCTCGTGCCGGGCACGCCGCCCAGGCACGGGCCCGCCATCCCGGCGACCCAGTGCATGCTTAGAAGAAAGGGGAAAGGGTTTAGGGTTTAGGGTGTAGGGTTTAGGGTTTAGGGTTTAGGGTTTAGGGTTTAGGGTTTAGGGTTTAGGGTTTAGGGTGTTGGGTTTAGGGTTCAGGGTTTAGGGTTTAGGGTTTAGGGTTACCTCTCTCTCCAATAGCCAAGGAATGCAAAAAAGGTTTAACTTCCTGATTCCTACTAAAGACAGAAAACACAAGAGTTTAAAGTTCATCTATTGGCCAAGTAAGGCGTAAGTGGGGCATGGCGGGTGGTTGAGAGCATCTCGCAGCTGCAGGGGGCTTCGGGTAAGGTTTGTTGTTGACTTGCTGAGGGGGTTGCGTTTGGGCGTGAGCATGTTGAGATGCGCCTAAACCCCAGACCCCAAACCCCAAACCCCAAACCCTAAACCCTAACCCCGAAACCCCAAACCCTAACCCTAAACCCTGGACCCTAAAGCACTCTGACACCTGGCTCAACCCTAGACCATAGCTTTAAGGCCTTTCATAAAATAGGGGTCCCACGAAAAACCGAAATGCTTCAACGCTAAGGGTTCTTCAAGCAGGGTTCCACAAAACATGGCTACCCTAAACCCTAAACCCTAAACCCTAAACCCTAAACCCTAAACCCTAAACCCTAAACCCTAAACCCCTTATCCTTGGGGCCCAAGGTTTAGGCTTCTAGAGGCTGTGTCCGTCTTGTCGAGTCCAGGCCTCCCAATACAGATTGGGCATCTCCAACCTAAGTACTTGCTGTTGGTTAGTAGGGAATGAGGGAATGAGGTACCCTATGTAATCCTGTAAAGGGTGTATGAATATATGTATATGTACATATATATATAGGGGGATATAGGGCACAATAAGACTGCTAAACCCTACGCCCTAAACCCCTAAACCCTGAACCCGAAACCCCAAACCCTAAACCCAAAACCCAAAACCCAAAACCCAAAACCCTAAACCCTAAACCCTGTGCGAATCTCCTGCTGGAGCTCCAACGCCTTTTCGCGGTGTTGCCGCAGCTGGCCCTCGCGTGCGCAAGTAAGACTGAGGGTCGTAGGGCTGAAGGTGGGTTAGGGTTTAGGGTTATAGGGTTATAAGGTTATAGGGCTATAGGGTTATAGGGTTGTAGGCTATAGGGTTATAGGGTTATAGGGTTATAGGGTTATAGGGTTATAGGGTTATAGGGTCATAGGGTCATAGGGTCATAGGGTTTAGGGTTTAATTTTGAGGGTGGGTTTGGCTTTCTTGGACTTTCGGGTTTAGGATTCAATTACGTACTCAGTGTTTTTGTGGACAGGGAAGGGGAGGGGAGGAGGGTTTCATCTCTCGCCACATGTCAAGGGTAGAAGACGTGATCCTTGCAATGTCTTTGGTCAGAACACAGTCTCATCTCTCTGATGCGGTGTGCCCTGCGGTCACCCTTGGCTGCACTCAGGAGGGTAGCTATACATTAAACTTTTAGCTGCCTTAGTAAGAAACCCAATAAACCCAAAAAAGGTAAGGATCCAAAGTTACAGTAAAGTACCACAAAGGTTCTATGTGCCCACAGCCTACCGGCAAGAAGAAGGCCCCTAAAGCCCAGAGCCCAAACTGAATAGCTCCAAATCCCGACAGGAAGTCATTAGCTTTGTAGGCCCTCTGCCAACTACAGCCTCCAGCCCGAAGCCCTACTAAGACTAGCCTTGTAATTTGTTCCTTGATGCTCGGGGGGGGGGGGGGGGGAGGTCCTCGTGATATGTAATCCACGAGCAAACACTTTAAAACCCGCAAACGCATACACCCCAAGCCCCAAGGAAGTAGGATTCAGTTCGGAAAATAGAGTTCCCATGGAGAACGTGGTATGCACGTCTATTCTCCCTTCAGAGAAACTTGTAATTCGCTGCTCATACCCGAAATTTCATCAGGGAGTAAAGTCGGGGGGTACTTCTGCTTGTATAAGGGATAACATTCCAACCCTAAACCCTAAAACCTAAACCCAAGCCCAAAACCCTTTTTTTACGGATGTTGGTAGTATATATAACCCTTCCTTCTTGTTAGGGCTCCCCTAAACCCTAAACCCTAAACCCTAAACCCTAATAGAAAAATCCCTCAAAGCCCTGGTCGTCGCTGGCCTCTGCTTGCACCCGTCGGTCCGA